ACTCGGAACCCTTCCCATCCCCTTCAGATGCTGATGCCGGTGCCGGTGCCGGTGTCCTACATGGTGCTATACCGCAGCCTGCTCCCGGCCACCACCCCTTGGGTCCAACACGATGCAGGCAGGGAGCTCAGCACCATCATCCCCGCGCTCCGCAGGGGCTACAAGTACGAGTTCAAGGTCCGACCCTACACTGGAGGGACCCAGGGCTCGGACAGCAACAGCAGGCACCTCTGGATACCTGAGGAAGGTGCGCTGTATGTCCCCAGGGATGCCTGGGTGGAGAATAGGGAGGTTGGTTGGGGGTCCCAGGGGTCTCAGCACCCCTGTCCCGGCAGTGCCCAGCGCAGCACCCCAGCAAGTCACCGTGGGCCAGGCTGAGACGGGGAACGGCACCGTGGTCGTGAGCTGGGAGCCACCTCCTCCTGAGGCCCACAATGGCATCATCCGGGGCTACCAGGTTTGGGGTGACAGGGTGAGGGGGCAGGGCTTGGGGGGCTTCTGACCAAGGAGGGTCCATCCAAGGGGATCCATCCAAGGGGTCCATCCAGGAGGGATCTCAACATGGGGGTTCATCCAAAGGGGCTAATCCAGGTGGAGGTAAATCCCAGGGCATCTGTCTAGTGCCATTCATCCAAGGAAGCTCATCCAAAGGGGTCCAGCCTAGGGGAGTCATCCAAGGGGGTCCACCCAAGGGGGATCCATCAATGGGGGTCCATCCCAGGGGAGTCATCCAAGGGGGTCCACCCAAGGGGGATCCATCAATGGGGGTCCATCCCAGGGGCATTTACCCAAGGGGATCCATCCTAGTGGCATGCAAGGGAGCCCATCCAAAAGGGTCCATCTAAGGGGGATCCATCAAGGAGATTCATCCAAGGGAGCCCATCCAAGTGAGTCTATTCAAAGGGGGTCCATCAATGGGAGTCCATCAAGGGACATTCATTTGAGGGGGTCCATCCAAAGCGGTCCATCCAAGGGGATCCATCCACAGGGGGATCCATTAAAGGGGGTCCATCAAGGGTAATCATCTAAGGGGACTCATCCCCTTGGTGCCTGCCAGGTCTGGTCAGTGGGCGAGGGCTGGCAGCGCCCCACCAACAGGACAGTGGATGGAGGCACCCGCAGCCTGGAAACCCTCCTCCCACACCCCGGCGTCGAATTCTGTGTCCAGGTGGCAGCTTTCAACAGCGCAGGGCTGGGGGTCCCCAGCAACACCACCTGTGGTGTCCTGGGTAGGGGACGGGGAGCAAGGCGGGGAGCGGGTGGGGGTCAAGTTTGTGACACGAGGTGACACCAGTGGGACCCTTGCAGGGCTGACAGCGGGGAGCAGCGGGGTGGTCCAGGCACTGCGGCAGCCTGCCGTCATCGCAGCCGCCGGCTCCATGCTCTGGTTGGCCTTACTCGCCCTCCTCCTCCTCATCTGCCAGCGCCGCGCCAGCCAGGACGCCGCAGCTCGCCGCAGGTGAGAGGCCTTGGGGTGGGGGATCCCTGCTGTGATGGGGTTGGGATGCCCTGACAGCATGCCTTGCCTTGCAGGCTGGTGGCTGGTGACTCACCGTGGCTCGGTGGCCCCTGGAAACCCAGCTGTGCCCCCCGAAACCTCAGCAGCAGCAGCAGCCTCAGCAGCCGACTGCTGGGCAGTGACAGCAGGGACCCCCACCCCTCCAGTGAGCCCTGTGGGAGCTGGGACCCTCACCTAGTGCCATGAGACCCCCACCCCTCCAGTGAGCCCTGTGGGAGCTGGGACCCCCACCTAGTGCCATGAGACCCCCACCCCTCCAGTGAGCCCTGTGGGAGCTGGGACCCCCACCTAGTGCCATGGGACCCCTACCCCTTCAGTGAACCCTGTGGGAGCTGGGACCCCCACCTAGTGCCATGAGACCCCTACCCCTTCAGTGAACCCCAGAGCTGGCATCCCCACCCGGTGCCATAGAAACCCCACTCTCTGCCATGGAGCCCCCACACAGGGTATTCTGGGCCCCCCACCTGGTACCATAGGACCCCTGACCTGATGCCATGGGAACCCCCACCCAGGCCTAGGACCCTCACAATGTGCTATGGGACCAGCAAAGTGTGCCCAAGACCCCAACCCTCTCCCTGGGACCCCAGTGCCATGGGACCCCCACCTCGGTGGTCCCCACTGCCTGTCTGCAGGCAGCAAGGACTTGAGGACACACAGACCCGAGGGCAGAGGGGACAAGGGGCACAGAGCTCAGCACCCATGACCTCTCTTACCCTCCCAGCCCTCTCCCTGGAGCCGCCGAGCCTTGGCCCCCCCACGCCCCCCAACCGCAGCAGCCCCCGTGGGGGGCACCCGCCGCCCCTCGGGGACACGGGGTGCTGCAGTGGGGGGCACCCCGGGGTGCACACCTCGCCCAGCACCCCGAACCCAGCGCCCTGGGAGCACATTCGCAAGAGAGGTGGGTATGGGGGACACACGGGGGGACATAGGGGGCACCGGGGAGGTGTCCCACGGCTCGGTGTCCCACCTCCCCCACGCAGAGCTGCATCAAGTGCACAGCACCCCGGCGCTCACGGCTGGCCCCGGCCACGTCCCTGTCACTGGAAGCGGAGGCGAGTGGGGGACAGATTTTGGGCCAGCAGCCAGGTGGCCTCCGCGAAGGGGACACGAGGGTGACACCACTGCTTCCGTGATGGACGGAGGGAACGGGCAGCTGCCAGTCTTCAGCTCCCCAAAACCACGTCGGGGCAGTGCTTCGCTGGCCTCTGGTGTCACCGGGTCACCAGCGACACCCCCGAGACCACCCCATGCCCGGCACCCACCGGTGACACGGTGAGTCTGAGTGTCCCCATCCAGATGGGTGCCCTGCACCCAAACCCCATGCTGCAAAACCCAACATGTTGCTTGCACTTGCAGGTCCCCAGCCACCGTGTGCCCCAGGGACACATCCCCGATCACCAGGCGCCCCAAGGACCTGTCCCCGTCCACTGGGATCCCCAGGGACACACCTCCACTCACCCAACGCCCCAGGGACACATCCCCGACCACTGAGAGCCCCAGAGATGTGTCGCTGGCCATGAGGCACCCCCAGGACCTGTCCCTGGTCACTGAGCACCCCAAGGACATGCTCTGGGCTAGCAGGCACCCCAAGGATGTGTCCCCAGTCCCCAGAAATCCCAGGGACATGTCACCAGCCACCAAGCACCAGAGGGACACAGTCTTGGCCATCAGGCACCCTGAGGACACATCCCTGGTCACCAGGTGCCCCAGGGACCCATTACCAGGGACCAAGTGCCAGCGGGACATGTCACCATCCACTAGGCACCCCAAGGACATGTCCCCAGCCAGCAGGCACCCAAGGGACACATCCCCAGGCACGAGGCTGCCCCAGGAGATGTCCCCAGGCACTAGGCTCCCCAAGGAGATGTCCCCAGCTACCAGGCACTGCAAGGACAAGTTCCTGGCCACTAGGTATGCCAAGGACATGTCCCCAGCCAACAGGCACCCCAAGGACCTGTCTCTGGTGACCAAGCACCCGAGTGACATGTTCCTGTCCAGCAGGTACCCTGAGAACATGTCACCAGCCATGAGGCACCCCAGGGACACATCCCCAGTCACCAGACACCCTGAGGAGATGTCACCAGTCACTGAGCACCGCAGGGACAAGTTCTTGGGCACCAGGTACCCCAAGGGCACATCTTCAGCTACCAGGCACCCGAGGGACCCATCACCAGGCACCCAAGGGATGTCCCTTCATGATATATCTGGTCACCAGGTACCCTGAGGACATGTCACCAGACACTGGGCACATGAGGGACACATCCCCATCCACTGGGCACATGAGGGACACATCCCCAGTCACTAGACATCCTGAAGAGGTGTCCACAGTAACCGGTCACCGGAGGGACATGTTCTTGGGCACCAGGTACCCCAAGGACATGTCCCCAGCCACTAGCCACACCAGGGACACATCACTGGAGACCAGGCACCCAAGGGACATGTTCCTGGCTACAAGGTACCCCAAAGACATGTCCCCAGACACCAGGCACCCAAGGGACAGGTCCCCAGTCACCGGGCGCCTCTCACCAGCGTTCAGCGACGGGGTCCTCACGCAACAGCAGGTGGCTGAGGACCTGGAGATGGACCAGGACACCACCTGCCTCAGGTATTCCCCACCCCTGTGGGACACTCCCACCATGGCAGCGCCCCCCGGTGCCATCAGTGTCCGCCCCATGTCCTCCCCAGACCCCCGGCACCAAGCACACCACAGTCCTTCTCACCACTGCACACCTACGGCTACATCTACGGGCCACCAGCCTCCGAGCTGGGCGAGGAGGAGGAGGAGGGGGAGGAGGAGGAGGAAGAAGAGGAGGAGGAAGAGCGGACGGCGACGAGGGGCTCGCCGGGGGGGTCTCTGCTGAACGGCTGGGGGTCCGTCTCGGAGGACAACTTTGCCAGCACCCGCTGCAGCCTCGTGAGCTCCTGCGACGGCTCCTTCCTCCTGGACGCCAGCTTCGCCCGCGCGCTGGCCGTGGCCGTCGATGGCCTCTGCTACAGCCTTGAGGACGCTGACGGGCCTTACAGGGGTGAGTGAAGGGTCCCTGACGCCCATTCTGACCCCAAGGATCGTCACCTCCCTGGGGAAGGTGCCTCTGTCATGGCACCAAGGTGACGCCACCGTCTCCTGCAGGTCCCTCACCGCCACCATCACCCTTGGAGAGGGTCTTCTCACCTGGGGTCCCAACCACCACCTGGGACTGGGGGACAGCGCTGGGGGTCCCACAGAGAGTCAGGGCAGAGGTACCTCTGGGCATCACACAGAATGGTGAGCGGTGCCCCGATGCTGGGGTGACAGGCACTGGGGGTGGAAGGGAGTGCCATCTGTTGCGGGGTGCTGGAAAATGTCCCCTTTTCTTCTCAGGTGGCCAGGGGTCAGGGAGTGGCAGCCCCTGGGCCAGGGCAGGTGGTGAGCTGGGGACAGGAGGGACAGGAGCATGGAGGTCCCCAGGGTGCAGGATGCAGCAAGGCCAGTCCCCTTGGCTCGGCTAAAATCCAGTTTTATTAGGCAGTTCCCCAAAAAGGGGCTCTTTACTAGGAAAAGCCACCCACAAAGGGTGGGTGGCACCAAGGTGGGTGGGTGTCCCTCCTTCTCCAGTGTCCTTGCCCTTCCCAAGTGTTCCGTCCTTCCGCAGTGTCCCCATCCCTCCTCAGTGTCCCCATACTTTCCCAAATTCCTCATTCCTCCCCAGCATCCTCATTCTTCCCAAGAGTCCACATCCCCTCTAAGTGTCCTCGTCCCTCCCCAGTGCCCTCATCCCCCCTAACTACCCTTGTCCAGCCCAAGCACTGTTGTCCATCCCAAGTGTCCTTGTCCTTCCCCAGGGTTGTCCCCCTGACCATCCCCAGGCCTGCTGACCATTCCCATTTCTCCCAACTGTCCTTGTCATTTCTAAAAGTCCATGTCCTTCCTCAGCATCCTTGTCCCACCTCAACCATCCTTGTCCCTCCCAAGTATCCTCATCCTTCCCAAGCCACCTGTGCCTCCTCCGAGTGTCTTTGTCTCTCCTAATCATCCTCATTCCCAGGGTCCTCAGCCCTCCTGAGTGTCCTCATCCTTCTCTAATTGTTTTTGCCCTATGCACCAAGTGTCCTTATCCCTTCCCACTGTCCTCATCCCCCAGCAACTATCCTCCTCATCCCTTACTACTGTCCTTGTCCTTCCCAAGCAACCTTGTCCTTTCCCTGTGTCCTCTTGCTCCCAGGCATCCTTGTCCCCCTGCCTTCCTTGTCACTCACCATCACCCTAAACCATCTGCAGTGTCCTTGTCCCTCCCTTGTAATCTCATCCCAACTATCCCCATCCATTTCAATCGTCCTTATCCCTCACAGTCGTCCTTGTCCTTTCCTAGCATCCTTGTTCCTCCAAACTGTCCTTGTCCCCAAGATCTTTGCCCTGCTTAAGCATCAATCTTATCCCCCTCCAGCATCCTCATCCCTCCCCAACGTCCTCATCCCTCTCTGAACAACTGCCTCTGTCCCCAGGCTCCTCCTCCTTCCCCAAGCATCTTCCTTGTCCCTCCTGAGCATCCTCATCCCTTCCCAGGGTCCTCATTCCTCGTGACTGTCCTTGGTCTCCCTGAGCATCCTAATCCTCTGAATTGTATCCTTGCGCTTCCCTACCGTCCTTGTCCCAAGGGTCCTCATCCCTCCCCAAGTATCCTCCTCCTTCCCTGAGCATCTTTGTCCCTCCCCAGGGTCCTCATCCCTTGTGATTATCCTTGTCCCACCCCGAGCACCCCTGTCCCCCCTCACTCTGACGCCCACCGGCCGCTGGCTCTGTGCAACCCTATTTACATGACGCCACCCAGAAATTAAAGAACGTCCCTCCGTGTCCCCAACCCTGTCACCGGCTTGCCCTCCACTTTATCGCTTCTCCTGCGACGGGCCGGGCAATGTGGCCCCCGGGCGGCGGCGATGGCCGCTCCCTTCGCCGCGCTCCGCCGGGATCCGGCCGCGCCCCGAGCCGTGCTCCCGGGAGCTGGCGGAGCCGCGGGACGAGACGCTGCCTGTGGTGGAGCAGCTGCCAGACACCTGCCCGCGGGGCAGGCAGGAGGGCTTGCTGTAGGGGACGAGCTCGTCTGCAGGGGACGGGACAAGGTTGGGTTTCGGCAGCGACACCCCCAACCCCTTTGTCGCACAGCCGGTGGCCCTGGCTTACCGCCGCGGGGCGGGCGATGGGCGACCCTGCGCTCGGCCCCGCTGGGCTCCCGCTCTGGAGAGGGGCCGCGGGTCTCTCCCGGCGGCGGCAGCGGCGGCGGCGGCAGGTCTGCGGTGGAGAGGGAGGAGAGGGCTGAGCCCTCCTGGACCCACCTGGAGCCCCTAATTTTCCCCCCCCCACTCACCTCCCGTCTGCTTTTCCCGGCAGTAACGGCTGCATTTGGGCTTCAGGCGACTTTTAGGGGCCGCTCCGCGGTGTTTCCCTGGGAGGGGATGGCAGTGTCAGCCTCCCCACACAGCCAGTGCGGTGCCCGCCCACCCGAACCGGCCCTCCAGGGCTCACCTGCGCCGGGGGGGCAGCGGGCTCGGGGTGGGTGGCCCTCGCTGGCATCCGGAGTCACTGGGGGACTGGGTGCCTGTGGGGGGGTGCCGGCGCTGTGGGGGGGTCTCCTGGCAAAGAGGGGGTGGGATGAAGCCGAGGTGGGGCAAGTGGGATGGGGGGCTCGGTGGCCACCACAGTGCTGGCTGGCACAATCCCTCCAGAGCTGTGCTGAGGCCAGGGGAAGACATGGGGTGTTGGCACAGCTGGATGGCACTGGTGTGGGTGGGCTGAAGCACCACAGCTGGATGGCAGTGCCACATCAGGATCGCAGTCACACAGCTGGGCTGGCAAAGGGCAGATGGATGAGTGCAGTGGCACAGCTGGAGGGGAGGAGCACAGCTGGATCACAAGCCACAGCCTGACAAGGTTGTAATGACACAGCCAGCCTGCAATGGCACAGCTGGAGCACAGCTGCATAACGGCTGCTCATCTGGATTATAACCACACAGCTTTCAGCTGCACAGCTGGGTCACAGCACAGCTGGATTTCAAGCACACAGTTGGAATGCAGTGATCCAGTTGGCCCCGGATGTCACAGCTGGATTGCAGCCGCACAGCTGGATCACAGCACAGCTGTGTTGCAATCACATGTCTGGATTACAACAGTACAGCTGGAGTGCAGTGACGTGCCAGCATTGTGATGGCACTGCTGGCTTGCGATGGCACCGCTGGATCATGGCAGAGCTGGGCCACGACAGCACGGCTGGATGATGATGTCCCAGCTTGTGATGGTGCAGCTGAATGGTGATGCCCCAGTCAGCTGACACTGTCATGGATGTGACCTGACAGCATGGCTGGGGCACAGCTGGAGAGCAGAGATGGATGGTGACATCATGGAATTATCACAAAGGGACACCTGGGCCACGGTGGGACATCCAGACTCCAGTGGGACATCCAGACCCCCATGGCATAGGCAGACCATGGTGGCATGGCAGGACCAGATTGTGACAACATGGCTGGGTTGTGATGGGACACCCAGACTGTGGTGGGTCATCTGGACCCTGGTGGGACATCCTGACTCCAGTGGCAAGGCCAGACCATGGTGGAACAGTGGAACTGGGTCATGGCAACGTGGCTGGATCACAATGGGACACCCAGACCTCAGTGGGACACCTGGACCTCAGATGGCACATCTGGACCTCAATGGCATGGCTGGACCATGACAGCACAGCAGGGCTGAATGGTGACAAGATGGATGGATTGTGGGGGAACACCTGGACCACGGTGGGACATCTGGACCCCTGTGGGACATCTGGACCCCAATGACACATTTGGACCACGATGGCAGAGCAGGGGCTGGATAGTGACAACATGACTGAATCACAATGGAACACCCAGACCATGGTGGGACACCTGGACCTCAATGGGACATCCAAACCCCAATGGCACGGCCATACCAAGCGAGGCCCATCTCCTACCGGGGCAGACGGGAGCTGTCGAAGTCCCGGAGGCGGGGAATGTCCTCGGTGGTGCGGGGCGATGGCGTCAGCGTGGTGGTGGACCGGCAGCCGGAGGAGGTGGTGGGCGAGGACGCAGCGGTGGCACAGGGGATGTCCTCACCGGGGTACCACACCTCCATCCCCAACCTGCAGGGTGGAGACCACAGGGTGCGTGCTGGGGACAGCAGGCCCCTGCCCCCCCAAGCCTCCACACTCACCCTCTGGCTGCCTCGTCCTCTTCATCCTCCTCTTCCTCCTCCTCCTCCTCCTTCTCCTGGGTGCACTGGCTGAGCTCGCTGGCCGAGGGTGGAGGGGGCAGCAGCTCCGTCCAACTCACCGCTGGCAGTTTCACCGCTTGCCCCAGCTTTGCTTTGGCCCCTGCGGCAAGGCGGGATGCTGGGGGGGCTGTGGGGAGGGGACCGCACCCCCGGCTCCCCTGTGTCCCCCCACCCATCCCACCACCCTACCGTGCTCAGCCCATCCTCGGGGTGCCTGGGCGGCTGCAGCATCCATTGGCTGAGGACCCACCCCGGGATAGGGGGTCCCATACTGCGAGAAGGGACGGGGGAAGGTGCAGAGCTCCTCACTGTCCGCCTCGATGGTGCTGTAAACCGGCCCCTCGCCGGCCCCTGCCCCAAACTGCTCCGTCTGGGCGATGTAACGGGTGATGCCGGCGTCTGCAGAGGGCGGCTGCCGCCATCAGGGCTGACTATGACCCCCCCAGTCAGAGCTACCCACCCGCCCCCGTGCTGACCCCTTACCATTGTAGTATCTCTCAGCGGTGCCCAAGCAACCCGCAGCACTGGCTGTGCCGCCACCGTGCCACGCGTCCGCCAGCCACGGGTAACCACTGCCGGCGGCTGCCCTGCAAGGAGACGGGGGGAAGGGATGCTGGTGGTCAGCGCTGGGGCTCCTGGAGAGGGCGGGGGATACCTGGGGGGTTACCTGGGGCTGCCGCGCGCTGGAGTCGGGAAGGCGACTGCGGAAAGAGAGCGGGGTGAGGACGGCGAGAGGCCGCGCCGGGACCCCGCGCCACCTGTGGGCTTACCGGTGGGTGTGTAGGCAAAGGAGGCTGTAAAGAGAGGGGAAATAGGTGGTGGTGGGCGATGGGTGAAGGGTGGGGGGTCTCAGGGGTAGCACCCCCCTCTACCGGTGAAGTGGCTGAGCTCCTTCTTCCTGCGGCGGCGGCTGTAGAGCCAAGCGGCGAAGGCGGCGAGAACGACCCAGCAAGCGCTGCCGACGCCGGCGATGAAGGCTGGCTGCCTGGCCACCTCAGCCAAGCGCTCGGTCATGCTGCTCCCGCCCGCTGGCTCCGCATCCCGCTCCACCAGGGGGGCTGCGAGTGACACGGGGAAGGGGGACACACCGGTGGGATGCCGAGGAGCCATCCGCAGCACCACAGTGGGTGACCCCCGCAACTCCCCACCCGTAGGTGCGGCGGTGGCAGGAGACTCACCGACGCGGATGGGGACAGGGGCGCTGCGGGCACCCACACCGGCGCCAGTGGCGGCGGCGACTTCGGCGTGGTAAGGGACGCCGGGGACCAGTCCCCGCAGCACTGTCGCCAGCACCGTTCCCTCCACGCTCTGGTTGATGTGGTAGCGGCTCTCGTTGCCCAGGCACCAAATCTGGGAGCGGGGAGGGAAAGATGAGGGACGCCATGACATGGTGTCATGGGTGGACAGAGGGGACCTGCTACGTCCCTGCTGCTGTCCACCCTTACCCGGTAATCCCGGATGACGCCGTTCTGCTCGGCCAGTGGTGGTGGCTGCCACGAGATGCGGACACTGGTGCCATTCCCAGCCACACTGACAGCTCGCGGAGGGGCGCTGGGGGCTGCCAGTAGGGGACACACGGGATGTCACCTCCAGGTTGTCCCCTGGGGGCCCCCACCTCCCCCTCCACTCCTACACTCACCCGCCTCGGGGGTGCGCAGAGTGCGCACGGCGCTGTCTGGACCCTGGAGCTGACGGAAGTAGGGTCGGACCTTGATCTCGTAGTCCTGGCCCCGGCGCAGCTCGGTGAGCAGGGCCCCCCGCTCCTCCGGCGCCCGCACCGCCCGCGCCTCCTCCCAGCGCCCACCACGCCGCCGGTACAGCACACGGTAACCCTGAAGGAAGGGCGCTGGGCGCTCCACCTGCGGGGCCAAGAGGAGTGTGGGATGGGGGGATGCTCGGCACCGGGAGCCCCGTGCTGGCAGCGGGGTGCGGCACTCACGGTCCAGGAGAGGCGGACGGCGCCCAGCGGCAGCACCACGGGCTCCTGCAGGTGCACAGCCACTTGGGCCAGCTCCCGCTGCACCTGCTCGGGGTCCAGCCCTTGCTGCGTGGGGCTGGCATCTGCTGGAAGCATGAGAGAATGGAGGGGCCATGGACATCCCCGCTGGCGTCACCAAGTGGAGAGGCCACGGTGACACCACGTTCCCATGGTGGGTACGTGGGAAACTCCACCGGCACCACTGGGTAAGGACAGACCCAAAGGTTTTGGGTGCATGGGCACGTCCATGTGTGTCACCAAGTGGAGGTGGATGGTGGGTTCACAGACACCTCCACCGATGTCACCGCTGGGTCTCACCTTGGGTGCGCACAGGCTCTGAGACGCCGCTGGGGTCACTGAGCCCGTAGGCGTTGACCGCCCGCACCAGGAACAGGTAGACGGTGTCAGGGACGAGGCCGCTCACCGTGTGGGTCTCACCCTCCACATCAGCTGCCACCGTCCGCCACGGGCCACCCGCTGCCTGGCTGCCAAGGGACAGGGGTGACCCGTGACGGGGTGGTACCGGGCCACCACAACATCCCTGCGGCCAGAGAGGATGCTTGAGTGATACCTGAAAGCCTCCACTATGTAGGAGGTGACATGGGTGGCATCGCTGTCCTTGTTCGCTTTCCAGCTCAGGGTGACACTGCTTTTGGTGATGTTGGTGACCACAGGGGTGGAGGGTGGCCCGGGGAGGACTCCGGGCACAGGGGAGGGTGGGGAGAGGTCAGATTCATCACCTGCAGAGAGATGTGTGGAGGTCTGGGGTTGCTTTGTCCCCGGTGCCATGGTGTCCCTGGTGCAGTGACATCCTTGTGACCCACCTTGCACCTCCAGGGAGCTGCCCCAGCGTGTCTCGCCCGCTGGGCTGGTGGCCACGCACTCATAGAGCCCAGAGTCTCTCACCTGTGGGGGGGAAGAGCTCCTGCCCCATCACCCTGAGCACCCATCACCTCGGCACCCACCCCCCTGGGCACCCACTGCCCTTTGTACCCACCACGCTGAGCACCCACCACCCTTTGAACCCATCACCCTGAGCCCCAGCACTGCTTGTACCCACCAACCTGAGCACCCACCTCCCTTTGCACCCCCCCACACCCACTGCCCCCTCCCCTCCCTGCAGTACCCCCACGGGTGCCCCTGCCGGGGCCGGCTCACCCGGAGGCCAGTGATCTGCAGGGTGCCGTTCTCCAGCAGGCTGGCACGGGACTGGGTACCCACCAGGGCACTGCCATCCTTCAGCCACCCCACGCTGCCCGGGGGGTCATCGCCCCACACCCCACAAGGCAGCCGGGCCGTGGCCCCCACCGGCAGCACCGTCCGGTTAGCGGGAACGGGGCTGACCACCAGCGGGTGGAGCTCGGTGGGTGCTACGGGGGGAAAACCAGGAATTGCTGGGTGGTGTGGTGGGTGCCACTCGTGCACCGAATGTGCCGGTTCTCTGCTGGTGCCAGACTTACCCCCCATCACCTCCAGGCGTGCCCTGGCCAGGACGCTGCCGGCCACGCTGATGGCCTGGCACAGGTAGTGGCCGGCGTCGCTGGGCTGGACATCGGTGATGGTCATGGCACCTCCGGGGCTCACCCAAACACGGCTGGAGGGGAGCGGGGGCTGGCCTGGGAACAGCAGGGTCTGGGGAGGGAGGGGCTGAGTGAGAGGGAGGGAGAGGTGGGATGGGACATGGTGGGGACAGGGATGTGCCTGGGGACAGGAATGGGATGGGGTGTGAAGGGATCAGATGGAATGGAATGGAATGGGGTGAGGATTGGGATTGGGGTGAAACAGGGTCAGGGATGGGATAAGGACTGGGATGAGATGGTCATGGGTACTGGGTGGGGATGAGGTGAGATGAGGATGAGATGGGATGAGATTGGGATGGGGATGAGATACTGACAGGCTGAGAATTGGGATGGGGATGGTGATGATAATGAGGTGGAATGGAAGTGGAATAAGGGCGGTGATGGGATTGGGATGAGGATGGAATGGGGACAGGGATAGGGTGGGAATTGGGATGAGGACAGGACTATGGCTGGGTCTGGGGTCAGGGATGGGGACAGGGATGTGGACAGAGATGGGCACAGACCTGGCTCCCCTCCTTCTGCCAGAAGACAGCGGGCGGTGGGTTGCCCTTGCTCTGGCACTGGAAGGTCACGCTCTGGCCAGGGGTGACAGCCTGGTCGCGGGGCCCAGTGACGAGCTGGGGGGGCACTGCCACAGTGTGGGGAGAGACAAGGGCTTGCCCAGGCACTCCACCAGCACCCAAGGGTGCTCCCCAGGGCCCCCCTTACCGTGCACAGTGAGGGTGCCGGATGCCTCTGACCTGCCCACGCTGTTATCGGCCACACAGGTGTAGGTGCCCTCGTCCTCTGCTCGCAGCCGGCTGATCCGCAGGGTGTTGTCTGGCAGCACCTCCCACCTGGGGGAACCCCGTGAGGATGTAGCACCAGCAGAGTGCTGGGGCACCAGGACAGCGTGAGGTGCCAAGGGGTTGGGATGCAGTGAGGATGTGGGATGTGATGAGGATGTGGGCACAAGAGGCATCTGGGATGCAAGGAAAATGAGGGATGCATTGGGGATGTGAAATGTGGTGAGGATGTGGGATATGGTAGGGATATGGGATGCAATGGAGAAGCAGGATGCAATGAGGACATGAGGTGAAATAGGGATGCAGGATGTGCTGAGGATGGAGGGTGCACCGGGGTTATAGGATGTGATGGGGTACGTGATGTCATGGGGATACCAGGCTGGCACACACTAATGCCACCCAGCTGCACTGCAGAGCCCTGCACCGATGGCCCCGGTGCCCTGCATCAGCCCCCTCACCCCCTGCTCACCTTCCCAGTGGCATCTCGCCCTCCTCCTTGTGCCACCGCGCCGCTGGCTGGGGATCCCCCACTGCCTCGCAGGCGAACTCCGCCGTCCCCTCCACCAGCACTGCCTGGTTCAGGGGCCTCTTGCCGAACGCCGGGCGCTCTGTGGGGCAGCCGTCAGTCCCGCCGGGATGTCATCCACCCCTCAGCACCCCAAACATTGCACCCCACGCACCAAAGACCACCAGCTCGGCCGGCTCGCTGTCCCTCTCCCCCACCACGTTGGTGGCCACGCAGACGTAGACACCGGCGTCGCTCTTGCGGGTACTGGCCACCATCAGCTTCCCTCCACGGATCTGGGGGAAGCACATCACATCCCCCATCCCCATCAAATCCAGCATCCCCATTGCATCCTGCATCTCCACTGTATCTCATACTCCCACTGCATCCCAAATCCTTATTGCACCTCCCGTCCTGACTGCATTCCCTATCTCCATCACATCCCACATCCTGGCTGTATCTCACATTCCCATTTCACTTACACCCTCATCACATCCCATATCTCCATTGCATCCCAAATCTCTGATGCATCCCACATCCCCATTCCCACATCCCCATTCCCACATCCCCATTCCCACATCCCCATCTCATCCTGCATCCCAGTCACATCCCACATCCTCATTGCATCCGAACTCTCCGCTGCATCCCACATGCCCCTCGCATCCCCATCATATCCCACATCCTCGCTGCATCACACCCTCATCACGTCATACATTCCCATTGCATCCTCATTGCATCCCCCATCCCCATCACGTCCTGTATCTCCATTGAATCACAGATCTCTGTTGCATCCCCCATCCCCATCACATTCCACTTCTCCATCGCCTCCCCGTCACATTCTGTATCCTCACTGCACCCACATTCCCACCACATCCCACATCCCCAATCCCCTTCGCATCCCCATCGAATCAGGCACCCCCATCACATTCCACACCCTCACTGCAACCTTAATCTCCGTTTGCATCCTGCATCCCCATCGAATCCCGCATTCCACATCCCCATCCTGTATCCCTCTCACATCCCACGCTCCTCCTGCATCCTCTATCCCTACCTTATCCCACACCCCCATTGCAACACCCCCGCCCCGTCCCTCACCGTCAGGTGCTCGTCCTTGTCGCTGAGCCGGACTCCGTTCTTCTTCCAGGAGACGCTGGGCTCGGGATGGCCGCGGGGCGGGACACACTCCAGCACGGCCGGTTCTCCCGCCGCCACCACCACATCCCCGGGGGGCTGCCGAAAATCGTCCCGCAGCACTGGGGGGACACACCAGCCCGGCCTCAGCTCCCCAGCCCCGGGAGTGGCGCCTGGGACACCGTCTGCGTTGGCTTTAGCTGATTTTAGTCTATCTTCATTGATTTTACTTGATTTTCAAACGTTTTCAGTTATTTTCATCTGGTTTTATTTTGTTGCAATTATTTTTGTTTATTCTCATTTTCATTTGTTTCCAAGTATTTTGACTTCTTTTAATTTCTTTTGTGTTCTTTTGTTGTTATTGTTACTTATTTTCACTTCTTTTCAGTAATCTTCACTTCTTTTCATCTATTTCCAATTATTTTGATTTTTTCATTATTTTTGTTCTTCTTCACTTATTTTCACTTATTTTACTTTTTCATTTATTTTCACTTCTTGTCACTTCATTTCTTTTTTCCCCCACGTTTTAATGTCTTTTCTCCTACTTTCATTCATTTTCACTTACTTTCATTTTACTCTTTCCATCTACTTTCACTCTACTCTTCCCCCATCTACTTTCACTCATTTCCTCTTTTTTTTTTTTTCATTTCTTTCCCCTCGGTTTCATTTATTTCCAGTGTTTTTCGCTTCTTTTGAACTCACTGAAATTTCTTCTCATATCTCTTCACTTATTTTATTTATTGCCAAATACTTCCTTTTCCCTTCTTTTCATGTATTTTCCTTGCTTTTATCTCTTTCCCCCTCTTTTCCCTTGGCAGCGCCACGCCCGGGGATGTGAGAGCCCCTGGTCCCACAGCCACCGGAGCGGGTTGGTGACACCAGACCCCTAAACCCCCACCCAAATCACCCCTCAGCCCCTCTCCCTCTCCCCAGGACTCACCGGCCACCGCCAGGGAAGCGTTCCGGCTGGTGGCCTCCCCCAGGTAATTCCTGGCCACGCAAACATAGACCCCCTCGTCGGGCTTGCCCCGCCGCCCGTGCAGGATGCGGAGGAAGAAGAGGGAGCCTCCCGGCAGGAGGGTGCGGTGGGAGCGGGGATCCTCCCGGTCCGTCTCCACCCGCTCCCCGTCTTTGTACCACTCCACGGCCGGGGCCGGGCGCCCCTCGGCCTTGCAGCTCAGCGTGGCCGGTTCCCCTTTGGAGACCAGGAGATCCGTGGGGTGCTCCACGATGCGGGGGGCCGTGTCCTCCAGCAGAGACTGGGACCCTGCGGGAAAAATTAGGGGCGTGGGGAGGTGGGGCTTGTGAGGGCTGAGCATCATCCGCGCTTTCCTGGCTCCAGCCCCTGCTTTGCTTGGAGAGCAGGAGATGAGATGAAGTGTGGCGAGGTCTCCCCCTCTGCCCCATCCCAGGGTGGGTGCCGGTGGGGAGGGAGCGGGCTCAGACAGGGACAGTGGGACAAAGCAGCTCCGCTGCCAGTAATGGCCCTTTGCCACCCAGTTTCCGACTGGGCATCCCTGTGGAAATGGAGTTGTGGCTAAATTCTCCCCAAAACAGGGATTTTTCCATCATCTGCAAGTGCTGATTTTCCGTAGCAGAGCCAGTAACTTCAGGCTGCAGGAAACACTTAAATTCAAGTTTAAAAAAGCCCCATATTGGGTCTGTGGGGCCGTTGCAGGAAAATTCCCCCCCGCTGGGGCATGGGAATTAATGGATGCTCATTAATGCCGGCATAATTAATGCTCGTTAATGCTGGGGCCGGCTGGGCTGAACCCCGCGTGTCCCCAGCGCCGCCCGGGCTGGCTCGGCAGGTCGGTCCCCACGTGTCACTGCGTGTCACCGTGTGCACAGGCACACGCCACTGCACGCACATACATGCACACACACACGCCTGCACACACGTGTGTGTGTAGTTACAGACACACACACCCCGGCACACACGTGTGCATTCAGGCAGGGGCGTGTGTGTCCTTACACATGCACACGCGTGTGTAGGCATGCAGAGGGACACACACACGTATGTATGCACATACTCGTGCATACATGCCCACTGCACATGCATGCACACACATGCACACTGACATACATGCACACACATGCCCACTGCACATACATGCACACACATGCACACTGACATACATGCACACACATGCACACTGACATACATGCACACACATGCCCACTGCACATGCATGCACATACATGCACACACATTCACATACATGCACATACATACACACTGCACATGCATGCACATACGTGCACACTGCACATGCATGCACACAAATGCACACTGCACATACATGCACATACATGCACACCACACATACATGCACATACATACACACATGCCTGCACATACATGCACACGCATGCACAGGTGTGTCTCCTTTCTCCTGCCCCAAGTCTTGTGGCGGGATGTAAGGGGGGGGGGCTGCAATTTGGGGAGCCCGCGGGGTTGCCATGGGGACAGGATGTGGCTGCCATGGGGACGGGAGGGATGCTGCGGGGTACCGGGTACCCCCGGGGGGCACAGCGGGGACTGAGGGGGCCGCAGCTGGGCCCGGTGGCTAATTGGGATGAGCGGGGGGTCAGGCCAGACCCCCTCCTGTGCCCAGCCGGCTGTGCGGGGGCGGGGGGTCCCGGGGGGTTTGGGGACACCCCCTCCCTCACCAGCCACCCAGAGCCAGATGGAGGGGGACGTTCAGACCAAAAAAGAGGGGAAAAGCCCAAAATAGGGTTAAAATTCAGGCAGACACCCCCTCCCTCATCTCCTCCCCCCACCGCTGCTCTGTCCCAGCTCGGGGACACGGGGCTGGTTTGGGGACACGGAGAGAATTAGGGGACACGGACCTGGTTGGGGGACACTGGGATGGTTTAGGAATGTAGAAATAGTTTGGGGACACAGGGCTGGTTTGAGGACATGGAGTCTCTCCCAGTTCGGTGTCTGGGAGTTGGTTTGGGGACACAGGGGCAGCCTGGGGACATGGGACTGGTCCTGGTTCAGAGACTGAGGATGGGCGTGGGGACAGAGGGACTGTTTGAGTACACTGAGTCACCCCCACTTTGGAGTCTGGAGATTGGTCCGGGGACATAGGACCAATTTGGGAATGACATGTCTGTCCCAGCTCGCAGTCTGGGCACTGATGTAGGAACACAGGGACAGTTTGGGAATGGGGACTTCTCCTGCATCAGAATTGGGAACACAGAGCTAGTTTGGGGACATTGGGTCAGTCCTGACTTGGGGACAGCAGTCTGGTCTCGGTTTGGGGCCATGGACACTATCTGGGGATGTAGCATCACTCCTGGGAGTTGGTCTGGAGACAAGGAGCCGGTCCCGGAATGGGGACGTGGGGCTGGTGTGGGAAGACGGGGTCAGTCCTGGACTCGGGACACGGGGCAGGTCCCAGTTTGGGGACACAGGGACGGTTTGGGGGCATCAGCTCCATCCCGAAGTTGGGACATGGGGCAGGTCCCGGTTTGGGGCCACGGGGCCAGGTTGGGAGCCCAGTGTCGGTGCCGGCGGGGTCCCGGCTGGGGCGGGGGGGCTGCAGGCTACTTCCAGCATCCTGTCAGGACCAGAAGTGGGAACCCCGGGACGGGAGGACAGCGGGACCGGGGGCCACGTACAGGGACCGGGGGCCACGTACCATTACCGGGGGTGAGATCGGGCAGGTGGAGCGCAGCGATGGAGCGGTTGATGCCGAGCAGGAGTGAGGAGGAGGAGTTGGAGCCTTCGGCCCCCAGCGAGTCGGCGAACAGGTTCATCTGCAGCAGCGTCTTCAGCAGGTACCGCAGCATCCTGCCAAGGCTCGGCTCAGCTCGGCTCGGCTCGGCTCAGCACCACACGACCCGGCACGGCTAAGACCAGCTCAGCTCAGCTCGGCTCAGCCCAGCCCGGCTCAGCCCGGCCCGACTCGGCTCAGTCCAGCGCGGCTCAGCCCGGCTCGGCTCGGCTCACTTCGGCTCGGCTCAGCCTGCGGCACCGCCTCCCGGGTGGGGGGACGGGCCAGGGCTGTGCTGGGCGGGGGGAGATGGGGGTGTCCCTGTGTCCCCCCCTCCTCCCTGAGAAGCGGGATGAGGGCAGAAGGGGGTGTGTCCCGTACGGGGTGGGGACTCCACCGTGAAGGGGAATGGGGGTGACTTTTGGGGGAGCAAAGGAAAAGGGGAATCCTCGGATTGGAGGGAGCAGAAGGAGGAAGAGGGGCAGCAGCTCCCGGGCTTCACACCAGAGTAGGTGACACCACACAGGGCTGCTGTCACCCTCCACTCGGGACCCCCCTCAATGAACCCCAAAAGGCAGCGTCACCCACACACCCCACGGGGAACCGCGGCTGCTCGGGGGGGCCACGTACCCCAACCCCGGGGGGCGCTGCCAGGGGTGAGGACACTTCGGGGGTGCTGGGAGCACCAGTGGCCTTGAATTTGTGGGGAGGAAGGGAACACACAGGAATCGGCGCATGATGCCATTGAATCCGTAATTAGCAATTGGCCACTTAATTAATGCACTGGGGCTGATGTGGGAAGCAAAGAGCCTCCTCCAGCGAGCCCTCTGTAGGGGGGAGGGAGTTTAGGAGGGGTCCATTATAGGGGGGTTTGTTATTTAGGGGTGTTCTTTAATAGGAGGCTTTATTAGGGGGATTTGTTAAGGGCGGGGGGGTGTTACAGTGGCACTTGGAATGGGGCAAAAGTGGGGAAAAAGGGGGAGTCGGGAGTGTGGGGAACCCGGAGGGGCTTGGGGGGAGAGAGGAGGTGTGGAGGAGAAGGGGTGATGGGGAAGGATGGGGGACACACATCTGGGTGTACACATCTGGGACAGGGCGAGGGAGAAGGCACTTCACATCTGGATGCACAGCAGCAGAGGAAATGGGCCCAAGCACGTTTGCACATCTGGGCGGGGGGAGGCAAATGTGCCCCAAAGGGAGTTCACATCTGGAGGACTCTTGGGACACAGCTGGGGAGAGGGGAGGCTTTTCCACGAACATCTGGGGCACCAAGGATCTCTGTGATGTTCACATCTGGGAGGGCTGGATGGTCTGGGGGATGCACATACGTTTGGGCAAACAGCTGGAGGGCTCCCCAGGGTCACAGCTGGGCACACAGCTGAAGGCACAGCGATGCTCAAGCACATCTGGAGAGACGGGTGGTTTCTATTTGTGCACATCTGGAGGCATAAGTAGGAGGTAGGTGAGTGCACATCTGGACAGCTTGCACATCTGGAGAGCTTGCACAGGCTTGCTTCTCTCTCAGAGCTGTGCTGGGGCCTCAGACAGGCACACATCTGGACTTCTGTGCACATCAGGGACCATTCAGCCTCACCAGCACCCTCTGGGCTCTCCATATCCCACCGAATCTGTCAGATCCAAAGCTCCTATCTGGGTGTCCAGGGGGTGATGCATTATTCATCCATCCCTCTCAGAGCTGGGCACGGAGAAAGTAAATAAATATTAATTTAATAGGAGCACAAAGCTTTTCCGTTTCTCCTGCTGGGGATGCAGCAGCCCAGGGATTTCTCAGTAGGATCAAAAAAAAAAAAAAAAAAGTAAAAAAAAAAAAAAAGGGAGAAATAAATTATCCGTAGAATAACAGGTTTATCCAACTATTATCTGAATAATTCTCCGGGATGGGATTTGATGGCAACGCTGGAATATTAAAAGCTGCTCTGTTTCCCCACCTTCTCGTTTTGGAGAGCTGAGCCAAGGGATGGGACATCTTCGACACGGGACTACAGGGTGGAAAAGGATGTTAATCCCTGGACAGCTTTTGGGCCCCTTTTCATGGAGTGCCTGGAAGACGGGAGAGTCTTTAATGGGGATCCTGGAGGTTTTTGGGAGCCCCAGGGATTAAAGCACCTCTGTATTAATCCCGCTATGAGTCCTGAGGCTGCATCGATGGGCTCCCGGGGGTGACACACGCGCACCCAACACCTCCTCTGAGACAGCTCGGGATGGGGAATGGAGACAAAGGAGCCGCCTCATCCCGATGGATAATCCCCCTCCGATTCATCCCCGTTAATCAGCTGGGCAAACACCGAGCGCGGGGGCACTGCCTCCTTGTTAGCAGATTTATTCTCGCCGCCGCGGCGTTTAATTGCCGCTTGATTCGGCGATTAGTGGTTGTTTGCCCAGGCTTTGCCCAAATCATCCCCCCTCAAACTTTTTAGGTGGGGGAGAGGCTTCCTCCACACTTCGTTGTCCTCATTATTCCTCCTTATTTTTGCTGCTTCCTTACTCCTCCCGAATCTTCTCGACCCTCGCCGGGCAGCAGCGGGTGGGGAAACTGAGGCACGAAGACCGTAATGAGGAGCGACAAGATATTTGTCTGGGCAAATGAGTGGCTGAGCCCCCCCTTCCCGCTGCCCGGGGGGAATCCCTGGCAGCCCCGTTATTAACATTTCCCCCGGGAGCCCCCACCCCGAGCTGGGCGCTTGGCCGGAAAACGCGGCTTTTTGAATATTTATAGAGGTTGTGGCGGCACATGGGGAGGGGGGAAGGGGGGAACAGGGTCTGCTGGGGGGTGGGGAGAAGCAATCCTGGGGACTGGGAGCAGCGGAGATGGAGGGGATGGGGATGGAATGGTTTGGGGTGTTGTAGGGCATGATACTGGGGGTCTGTAGGGGATGGCACTGGAATGATGTAGGGGAGTAAACTGGAATGCTTTACGGGGTGTCACTGGGATGTTTTAGGGAATTGTCACCTGGATTATTTAGTGCATAATGCTGGTATGACCTAAGGAATGATGCTGGGACCCCTAAGGAATGATGCTGGGACCCCTAAGGAACGATGCTGGGACCCCTAAGGAACGATGCTGGGATCCCTAAGGAATGAGGCTGGAATGCCCTAAGGAATGATGCTGGGATCTCTAAGGAATGATGTTGGGATCCTTTAGGGGAGAATAGCGAGATGCTTCAGGGAACAATACTGGGATGGCACTGTAATCCTTTAGGGGATGATGCTGGGATGGTGTAGGGAGTGGCACTGTAATCCTTCAGGGGATGATGCTGGGATGGTGTAGGGAATGGCACTGTAATCCTTTAGGGGATGATGCTGGGATGCTTAAGGAATGATGCTGGGATGCTGTAGGAGATGATACTGGAATGCTGTAGGGAATGGCACTGGGATGGTGTAGTTCATGGCACTGGGATGCTCTATGGAATGATACTGGTATGGTGTAGTTAACGACACTGGGATGCATTAAGGGGTGACATTGGGATGCTGCAGGGAATGACACTGGGATGCATAAAGGGATAGCACTGGGATGCTGTAGGGAATGACTCTGAGATGCCATAGGGGATGATGCTGGCATGCTTTACAGGATGGTGCTGGGATTTTTTCAGGGAGCATACTGGAATGCTTTAGGAGATGATGGTGGGATGAATGAAGGAGATATGCTGGGATATTTGGGGTGACCGTATGGGGACATTTTAGGGGATGATGCTGGGATGCTGTAGGGGAGCAAACTGAGTTGCTTTAGGGAATGTCACTGGGATGCTTTAGGGGATGAGTCTGGGATACATGGAGGGATGTCAGGATGTATTAGAGGATGATAGTGAGACACTACAGTGGAGAACACCGGGATGCTGTAGGGAACGATACTGGGATGCTGTAAGGAATGTCATTGGGATCCTTCAGGGGAATGATCCTGGGAAGTTTTGGGAAAATGCACTGGAATGCTTTAGAGGAAGACAGTGAGATGCTTTAGGGGACAATGCCAGGGTGTGCAAAGGAATAATGCTGTTTCAGGGGAACACACTGGCATGATTTAGGGGATGACACTGGGAGGCTGTAGGGGATGATGCCAGGATGTTCTAGGGGATGATGCCAGGGGTTTTTAGGGGATGATGCTGGAATGCTTTAGGAGAGCTTATTGGGATGCTTTAGGGGATGACACTGGGAAGATTTAGGGGAATGCACTGAGGTGCTTTAGAGGATGATGCCAGGGTGTGCTAAGTGATAAAGCTGGGATATTCCAAGGAAGCACACTGGCATGCTTTAGGGGATGCTGCAGGGATGCTTTCGGTGAGCAGATTGAGATGCTTTAGGGGATGACCCGGGAGGGCTCTGCGGGACGGTGTGAGGATGCCTCAGAGGACGGGTGTCAGGCTGTCTGTCCTCCACACCTGGCAGGCGCAGGAGGCCAGTGGGTCGAGGTCTCCTCGCGGGCATCCCAGCCCGCCTCATTACCGGCATCTTCGGGAAGCTGGAGCCCGTGTATTCTCGAGATGAGCGGCTTGGGGTATATTAACATCCCATTTCCACCTCTTTAATATAGAGTTTGTCGAGATCATTTATCAGCCGAGCCTCCCTTCAGGGCCAGGGGAAGCCGGGCAGAGCTCGGCAGCTGGGTCACGGCGAGAGGCGAGGGATGCTCATCCCCGAAGGAAGCCGGCTCCGGGTTTAACAGGTAGTGGCTCATGTGCGAATCGCTAGTTTGGGACCGCCACATCATTGGGAAAGGCTCTATCAAAGCTGGGCTTAATTGGGTGGAAGGCTTGTTTGCATGGCCGCTAATGGGGGATCAGAGGGCCGGGGACCCAGCGCTGACGGCCTCACAAAGGCAGGCAATTACTTGCTTGTCTGCATTATGTATTAACCCATCTGGGGTCGGGATATTGGCTTTGAAAGGGAGACAAAGAGGGGGGCGTGCCGGTAGCCCCCGCGCCGAATCAGCCCGCCTGGGTCCCCTTTGTGCAGCGGGCAGGGCAGCTGGATCGGGATGCAGGCGCTCAGGATGCTGATGGGCACCGGCGCACGGCAGCAGGGCGCTGCCTCGCTCGGCATCCCCGCGTCCTCCCCAATATTGCATCGAGCGTCTTTTCTCGCCTTTCATCAGTTTCCTGCCCACGGCCACGTCTCAGGATAATTGCAGCTTTGGCTTTAATTAGCCACCGTCGCCATTAATAAGTTTATACTTCTTTTCAGCAGCGTATTTTGGCGGCAGGAGGTTAATTACGAGCAGGTCAGTAAATTGCAGAGCACACTGCTCTGGCTCTAACGACCCGTCCGCTCGGCTTTTTGGCGGAGTTTTAATTATCTCTATTGAATTGGAAGGTTGACTGGAACAAGGTGGTGGGGGAGTGTTGGGGACCAGGGGGGTGTTTCCCCACCGCTGCCCCAAGCTCCTTGTCCTGCCGTCCGCGCGTCCCCCGGGGAGCTGAGAACGGCCACAACTCATTGCATGGGTGAGCCCTGACTGAGAACGCCCACAAACCATTTCATGGATGAGCTCTGGTTGAGAACGCCCGTAACTCGTTACACAGGTGAGTCTTGGCTGAGAACGACCACAACTCATTGCACGGGGCAGTCTTGGCTGAGAACAGACACAATTCGTCGCACAGTTAACTCTCAGCTGAGAACACCCACAACTCATCGCATTGGTGATCCTGGCTGAGAACACCCACAATTCATCTCACAGGAGAGCCCCAGCTGAGAACATCCACAACTCATCGCATGGGGCGATCCTGACTGAGAACTGCCACAGCTCATGGCAGGGATGAGCCTGAGCTGAGCACAGGCACAGCTCATGGCAGGGCTGAGCCTCGGCTGAGCACAGGCACAGCTCATGGCAGGGCTGAGCCTCGGCTGAGCACAGGCACAGCTCATGGCAGGGATGAGCCCCGCTGCTGGACGTGCTGCTGCGGGCGGGCTGAGCACGGGCCCAGCTCTCTGCAGGAATGACTGCAGAGGCGATGTGATGCGGGGTGGGGTGAGGGGGGCCCCCCTGCACGCCCCCCGTGCCATTAGCCCGCGGTCAAATGGCGCTGCCGGGACGCGGGGCCGCATCGCAATCAGCTGCTCCAGGGCCCTAATGGGTGTTCAGGCCCTAATTAACCGCCACCCTCATTTGCATCCGTCCCGCCACCCCCCCCTCCCAGGCCTCTAATTGTGGTCTGGTCAGCTCCGCGGGGCTCGGGGATGGGGGTGAGCGGGAGCGCTGGCAGAGGGTGTGGCAATCTGGGGGACACCCCAGCAGTGGGAACACCTCTCTGGGGACCCTGCTTTGGGGACACTTTGGGGACCCTTTTGGCACGGCCGATGGTGGGTGCAGCCCCCTGGGGACACACAGCAGGGCTGGCAGCGGAGACATCCCTTTGGGGACGTGCCACAGGGGTGGCAGTGGGGATACATCCCTTTGGGGACACAGTGGCAGCGGCGACATCACTTTGGGGACACTCCACAGGACTGGCAGCGGGTGCAAACCTTTGGGGACGAGGTGACAGCAGGGTCATCCCCTCGGGGACATCCCTTTCGGGACATGGTGGCAGCAGATGTATCCTTTTGGGGACGTGATATGGGGCTGACATTTGGGACGTCCCTTTGGGGACGCGCTGGCAGTGGGGACACCCCTTTGGGGACACACCAGCAGTGGGTACGTGCCACAGTGGTGACGGTGGGTACAGTACTTTGGAGACACGCTGGCAGCAGCGACAACCCCTTGGGGTTGTGGTGGCGGCAGGGACACGCCAGCGGTGGGGACATCCCTTTGCGGACATGCCGGCATTGGGGATCTCTCTTGCGGACGCTCCCTGGGGACAGCAGCCGGTGACAAAGAGCCCGCCGGCCCCGCGCCCCCCGCCCGGTCGGGGTGTGTGTGTGGGGGGGTCAATGCTCCCCCTACCCTCCCCGCAGCCTCGCGCCGCCGCCAGCCCCTAATCCCGCTAATTAGAGGGGGATAATTACAGTCCTGATCGCTCCGCGCCGCGCTGCGGGCAGAGACGGGCAGGGACAGGGACAGGCAGAGGCAGGGGGATGTCCCCCCTCCAAGTCCTGCCGCCCCCACCCCATTTGTTTAACCAACACGGCCCTAATTAAAGCGTTTAATTAACCAGCCCAGGCGGGGATCCCTAAGGACCCCTCTTAACCACCCCCCTTGGATGATGGGAGCTTTTGGGGGGGTCTGGGGAGGTCGAATCTCCCTGACGCTCGTTAGTCTTGGCTTAACGAAGAGTTGGGGCGCAGCTGGGGTGTGTCCCCCTCCCTCCGCGAGCTGCCCCTCGGCTCATCAATCACGGCCACCGTTAATTGAGGTCCCGGGGCTGCGGGGGCAGCGGGACCGGGGGCAGCAAGCTGTGGGGGAAGAGGGGTTCCTGGCCCCCCCGAAAACGGGGGGAACCGCGGTGCTTCGGGATGCTCTGCCCCCACACTTCAGGGGTGCTCGACCCCGGGGTTAAGGGTGGGGATACCGGGGGAGGGGGGAAGGGTTGATGCTCAGACCTAGAATTTGGGGCTGCTCAGCCCCCACTTTTGTGGCTGCTCAGCTGCAGAATTCGGAGATGCTCAGCCCGGGAAGTCAGCTCCGGTACGACGGGAACGCTCAGCCGCGCACTTGGGATGTTCAGCCACTGGACTGGAGGATGCTCAGCCCCAGATTCCAGGGTGCTTAGCCCCACATTTGGGATGTTCGGCCCCACATTTGGGACGTTCAGCCCTACATCTGGGGGTGCTCAGCCCCAGGCACTGGAGGGAAGGCTTTTGGGGTCCCAGTCCTTGGGGGTCTCTGGGGTCCGTACCCAGGTGGGGACCAGGCCACGCCTATCCATGAGGCCACGCCTATCCATGAGGCCACGCCTATCCATGAGGCCACGCCTATCCATGAGGCCACGCCTACACATGTGATCACGCCCATCACGTACGCGCCCACTCGCGTGGCCCCGCCCATCGCGCAACCCCGCCCACTGCCAACCAGGTCCCGCCCATCCATGCCACGCCCCCTCTTACTACCACGCCCACAACAAACCACGCCCCCAGCCTCCTCCCCATTTTTATGACCACGCCCCCGTTGCAGCCCCGCCTCCCGCCCAGAGGACACGCCCCCTCCCTGCTCTGACCACGCCCTCCACCCTGCGCTGCCGGAAGCCCCGCCTCTCGGGCGGGGCGTCACTTCCGCCCGCTCGGTGCGCACCCCCATCATGGCGGCGCCCTGCGGCTCCTCGCAGCTCCCGCCGGCCGAGCCGCCGCTCCGCATCCCCAAGATGGAGGTGCTGTCCCCGGGCTCGCCGGGCGCGCTCAGCGACGGCAACCCCAGCCTGTCCGACCCCTCCACGCCCAGCGGCGCCTCCCCGCTGGGCGCAGGGCCGGCGGCCGGCGGGGCCGCGCTGGGCGCCCGCGGCGGGGCCTCGCCCTCCGTTTCTTTCTCGCCGGGCGGCGCCGCCGCCGCCGCCGCCGCCGCCGCCTGCCGCGGGATGTCCTGGACGCCGGCGGAGACCAACGCGCTGATCGCCGTGTGGGGCAACGAGCGGCTGGTGGAGGCTCGGTACCAGCAGCTGGAGGGCGCGGGCACCGTGTTCGGCAGCAAAGCGCCCGGGCCCGCCATGTACGAGCGCGTCTCCCGCGCCCTGGCCGAGCTGGGCTACGAGCGCACCCCGTCCCAGTGCCGGGAGCGCATCAAGGTACCCCAGGGGGGCGCGGCCCGGGAGGGGGGGGCGGGCCGCGGGTCCCTGGGCTCGGCCCCCCCGCGGGTGGGTGAGCTCTGGGGTCACCCCGTCCCTCAGGGGCTCCCCTGGAAGAGGGGTTTTCCTGAGCATCCTTTGGCCCTGGTGTGGGGCACTGTGTCCCCAGGGCTCGGCCCAGCCCTTGGTCCTGAGCGTGGACCACTGTGTCCTGGGGGTTCAATCCTGTCGGGATCTCTCCCGCAGCATCCTTTGGCGCTGGCTGTGGGCATCCTCTGGCCCTGGGTTTGGAGGCACCGTGTCCCCAGGGCTCAGCTTTTTGGAATCTCTCCGTGCTGCAGTTTTCCCAAGCATCCTCTGGGCCTGGCATGGGTGTCCCCAGGGCTCAGCCCAGCCCAGTCCTTGCCCTGGGTGCAGGGCACCACTATCCCTGCCTCAGCTGCCTGGCTTCCTGCAGTTCCTGGCTGGCATCTCCTGGTTGCCACATCCCATCTCCTGGGTGCCACTTCCCATCTGCTGGATGTCACATCCCCTGCGTTCACCCCTTGCACCCGCAGCCTCCAGCAGCACCCTTGGGACCTGGGCACTGGGTTCAGCCCCTCAGTTCCTCTGGCATGGGTGGGCTGTGGCAGAATTCCCCTCTCATGAGTGGATACAGTGTCCCAGCCATTCGTGTCCCTGCTCATGGGGACAGCCCCAATAGGACCCTTCCCCTGTTTTTTTGGGGCAGCCCTGGGTTGCCTCCTTTGGCCCTGATCATGGTGGGCACCGTGGTTGACTCTGTCCCCTCACATATCCCCCAGCATCTTCTGTCCGTGAGGGGCTGGCACTGGCTGCTCCCTGAGGCCCCCTGGAGAAAAAGGAGCTCCCAGTTCCCCCAGTCAGGAGGAGTGGCTCGGGCTCTGGTCCCTCCTTTGCTTTGGAGTTGCTTTGCAGGGACCAAAGGCTTCCCCAGCTCTCCTGGAGCGTGCTGAGTCTTCACAGACCCCTTGACTAATTGATGAACAGCCCCCTGGGCTACGTTTCACAGAGGGATCTTTCCAGTTCCATCATTCCCTGGGGAAAGAGGGGCTGGGTTTGGTGCCCGGTTTGGGAGCAGCCACATCCTGCTTTTACAGAGAGAGGGATCATGGATGGGGTGGGAATCACTGTGGGGAGGGTTTGAGTTTGTAAACATGGATGATGTTTAGGAGGGTGAATTAAACTCTCCAAGCTCCCTCTGGCTTTTATTTCCCCTTTCCTGACCCGGGATCCCCCTGCAGCCACCTAAAAATGCCAGTGGATTGAAAAAGTAACGTGTTGTTATTGCTGGGGCTCAGCGGAGCCCGTTGTTTCTTCCTTCCTTTTCCCATCCCTTAAATACACCTGTGCCAGCCCAGCTGGGCTGGGCCTCTCCAGATGTGTACACCCAGGCTGCCTTTGGTTTCCAAAATACATGGAATAAGGGATGCTACAGCATCAGGAGTGCCTGGGAATAAGTGAGAGATTCCCCCTGTTGATTAGAACAGCCTGTCCCTGAAGCAGGTGCTCAAACCAAACCCCCTTCCTACAGAAGCTTTGATTTCTCAGTGTGTTTCCTCATGTCCATGAATTTGCTGCTCAGGGATCTATTTCCCTCCAACACAACCAAATATTTTTGGAGAGGAATGTTGCTGCACCGCAGACTGTCTCGGAGTGCCTCGTTTTCCTGGCAGTTTTCAAGGTGCTTGTTTCGTCAGTGTGTGATGGAAGAGTTCCCTGGGGTGGTTTGGCTTTGCCTGATGGTTTTGGGCTGTGGTGGGAGTCGATGCAGCATCTGTCAAGGACAGACCCCTGCCCCAGTTTTGGTCACAGCATTAATGCTCGGGGGGATGCTGAGCAGGCTGTGAGGAGACGTCTCGTTGTTAGGGTTGGGAGGATGCTGTTGGATGGAGCTGGTTGTGGGTGCCTTGGGGCTGGAGCAAGTGTTTGGGTGACTCCCAGCAGTTGGAGCTCCTTACAGCTGAGGATTCTCCCCCGTTCCCTTCAAAAGTGAGGCTTGAACAGGTCCTTACTCCTGACATGTTCCAGCTTGAAAGAAACCACCAGTCAAACAGTAGTGAAAGGGCACAGGGTGATGTTTATCACCAGGAGCAGCTCTTGGCAGACCTGTTGGATGTTTGTAGACCACAGTATGTCAGGGTGGGCTCTCCTTCAACCCTGTGATGCCTGGCTGGGAGTTATCCATGTTCCGTCCCTTCCTTATCCATAATGTTCTGTATTTCCATGATTTTATGGGATACTTAATGCCTGTCAGGGAAGGGCAGTGTGAGGCTTTGCTGCTGGATTATAAATGTAAGTGGTGCTTCAGACATACCCTGTTCAACTGACATTATAAATGCATTTTAGATAAGGGCTTGACACTGGGTTCCTTTGGGATACCTGCCTTCCCTGGCCACAGCCAAGTCTTGAGGAGCAAGTTTAGCTGGAAAGGAACAAGTCAGCTTAGAAGCAGAGAGTTTTCCAGTTGTATGGCGTGGATGTGTTCCCTCCTAATTCAAACAGGGTGAGCAGGAAGGTCCCACTGCAGATTTTCACCCATCCCTCACCATCTGCATGTGTTTTTCTGCACATCAGCCGCTGGAACGAGACTGTTGTTGGGTTGGAGCTGCTCTGGAAGGGTCTGTTTCAAATTTAGGGATTCACATGTAACCATTCCAGCAGCTTTTCCTTCGGAAAGAGACCTTGAGTGCGACTTGGTGGCTCCGAGGTCGGTGGCTTGGCGAGCTCAGCAATCAGGAGCCGCAGGAGAAGTGAAACATCTTGATTTCTGCCTGTTGCATTCCCAGAAAAGCTGTCCTGTGCACCACAGTTTTGTGTCACACCGTATCCTTAATCCTTGCTCGTTCAGTAGCACGCTCTGACTGTCCCTATGACACGGAGCTCATGCTGAGGAGCCATTCACACATGCTTTTCATCCAGCCCTCCTCCTGTTCCCTGTGCTCCTGAGCAAGGATTTACCCTGGTTTGTCTATCCTGAGACTCATCACCTCCCCACAGCAGCTCATGGAGAGCCCTGTAGTTTTCAGGTTTGACCTTTGGGCCGGGGTTTTCAGGCAGGTGATGGAGTATTTGGCCAAACCCTTGCCAGGATCCTGTGCCCTGCACCTGATGGTGCTGTTTGAGCCGGGCACAGGCAGCAGGAGGTTTGCTGGGAGCTTAACTATGAGAAAATGAGCTCAGGTGAGCTCGGGTGATGCAGTTGGAGCTGCACAAGGGGCATTTTCAGGCAATAAAGACTTGTTTTGTTTTAAAGGAGTGTTCTTGAAATAATGGGCTCTGGATGTGTTTTCAGAACTGAATTTTAGGCATTTTTTTAAACCCATGGAAGGATTTCTGCTTCTGTTGCTCCCATCTCCACGGAATCAAAGACTCACCCTCCTGATGGCACTTTGCTTAGCTGAGATGGGAAAGTGTTTCAGGGCTGGAAGTCCTCTGGCTGTGGGTGCAGCTGGAGAGCCTTTCCTGAGCAAAGACAAATCCCTCCTTAAAAGTTGCCATTAAAACTAATTCGGGGGCATTTTCAACACGTCGCTTTTCTTCAGCTCCTGCGGAAATGCGAGTTCTGCTTTCATTTTGCCTTTCCCAGAGTCGATGCCAAGCCATTGATTCAAAGAGAAGCAGCTCCAACATCTTAACTGCCAGCTGCAGGAATTCCCAAATCTTGCTGCTGGTCCCACTTGCCCTGTTGTTGGATTTTCTGTACCTTGAAGAGGCTGGTGCAGAGCTCGGGAAGAGCGTAGGAACAAAGAGGAGCTGGGACTGCTACGAACCCGCATGGAACAGGAAGGGATGGAAAATTACACGTGAATGCCGGGGAAGGAATGAAAAATTACACCTGGCTATCAGCTGTTGGTGTTTCTTGCTTTAAGCAGTGTGTGGAGGGGTGATGGCAGGGCTCATTTGTAACAGGGCTGTGGTTTTAGCTGCTTTACAATGTAAACTGTCTGTTTGTAAATCTTGCATGAAGTCATTTTTAAGGCAGGAAAAGCTGCTTTAACGAGGCTATCTTAGAAGCAACACCTGCTGTGATCTAGTATGACCTGCTGCACGTTACAGGAGGTTGGATTTCGGGCAGAATCCCATCCTTGAGTCCAATAGGGTTGAGTGGAACTGCTGTCTTTTAATTTAAAGATCTCAACTGGTGGAGCATTGGTGTGTTTTGTAGCAACCAGCCAACCATTCACCTTCAAAGCAGCTTTGCCTTTGATTTGAGTCTACAAGAAAGATGGAAAGGGACTTTTTACAAGGGCATATAGTGACAGGACAAGGGGGGATGGCTCCACAGTGTCAGCAGTAGGGTTAGATTGTATATTAAGACGAAATTCTCCCTGGTGAGGCCCTGGCACAGGTTGCCCAGAGAAGCTGTGGCTGCCCCATCCCTGGAAGTGTCCAAGGCCAGGTTGGACGGGGCTTGGAGCAACCTGGTGTAGTGGATCCCATGGCAGGGATTTGGAATGAGATGAGCTTTAAGGTCCCTTCCAACCCAGCTCATTCTATGATTCTATGTCTTGTGAATGTGGTCTGTCTTCATCTTGAGTTTATCTCAGTCCCTGTCCCAGTAGCTCCCTGAGCTACAGCACATGCAGATGTTTAAGTTATCTTTGGTTCTTTCCATGGCTTAGATGTAGATGCACTGTGTTTTCCAGGCTGGGTTGTTTCTTATGATCCCTTGAATCCTTTCCCACAGCCCAGCTTCTCTCTGGAGGATCTCACGGGCCCCTGTAGGTGGGAGCAACTTTCTGTTGACATTTATAGCCAGGAAAAATAAACTCTCCGGTGACAAAGAGCAGATTTAGTTGGTTTACTCCTTTGTGGGGCTGTGGCAGAGGAGAATCTCAGGGAGATGAGCATCATCTGGAGCAAACCCTCTTGGACCCGCTCTCCTCAGTCGGGGTATTTGCAGAGCACTGTCGTGCCCGTAAGAATCTGGCTGGAATTGCACGGGCAGGATGAGTGTCTTTACAATCCAGTGGCTTGTG